TTTTGTTGGGTTTGAATTGTTCTAGACCATAAAACTAAGTAGCTTGCTATTTAGATTTTGAATTCTTCTTTTAATGTAAAGATTTATTTAATTGAACATTTTCATTAGCAAATATTGACATCCTAGGAACTTTTTGTTGGGTTTGAATTGTTCTAGACCATAAAACTAAGTAGCTTGCTATTTAGATTTTGAATTCTTCTTTTAATGTAAAGATTTATTTAATTGAACATTTTCATTAGCAAATATTGACATCCTAGGAACTTTTGCAGATGGTTCTTTAGTTCCCTCTTGTGGAGAGGAGTTCCACAATTCGTTTATGGCGTTGCTGACTAAAATTCCAGGTCATTCTGCAAATAGAGTTCACGATCTTGTTCTTCCTTAATTTGATTGACAGCTTGGACACGAGATGAACTCTCTTTGGTAGTGTCAAATCATATAACTTCACCTTTTTGTTGTGGTATGATTCCCTTTTTTTAAATTTATTTTTTCGTTTCCATATGAAGCCATGGGAGAACTTAAGTTGTTGATGAGAGTGTATATGTAGGCTGTCATTCGTCGGTTTAGTCTCTGTAAGCCTACCCTTTGTTAATTTATATCGTCATGTAATTGGTGTTTCATAGAAAATTCTCTCTACGATCTCTTGTATATGTAAATGTTTGAATGATCAATAGTTGCGAGAAATTGAAGTATAAGAAGCAGTTGATGCGGAAGTTTTGCCTAAAATGTACTTGTATCTTGCATTTCCATGGTACTTGAGCATTGTATTAATGCTGGAACCTAGCAAAACAGAATCAAGACTAAATGAAGACTACTTTCTGTCCCTTTCTTTTCTTATCATCGTTATTGCACTTTCTGCAGAGAGACGAGGCGGAAACTCGAAAAGAATCACATAAGACTAGGCAACGACCAAATCAATTTTGGAAATGCATAGTCTCTTGGAATAAAATATGACCATTATGCTTTATCTCTTCTCTGAATGAACATCCATAATCATCTTAAAATAAGATTTCTTATATTCTCTTTCCAGTTTCCTGGGATTCAAATCGTTCATACTGGGAAAATATCTGAAACTAAAGCCACGGATTAATCTCACAGAACCCTCCAAATTGAAGGGTTGAGTTTTTTTTTTTTTTCTAGGCCCATTTATTTACTTAACTTTATTTATAAACCCAATTATTATTACTTGTATTTTAAAACCCAATTTTCCTTTTGTATTTATTTTTAAACTCAATTTTATTACAATACTTTTATATGTGGGCCTCCTAAGTATTTTCTTAAATTTTAATTATAACCTTTCAGATTTTATCTCATGTAAGTGGGCCTCTTTAAAAAAATTAAAAAATAAAAGAAAATGAAGAGAGAGAGAGAGAGAGAGAGAGAGAGAGAAAACGGATGTTTCCTCTCCCACGTGCAGGAGAGGAGAGAAACAGGAGGACCCCCCTCCCCCTCTCTTTCTCTCACTCCATTTCTCAATTGACTACCCTCTCTCACTCCTTTATGGCCTGTTTGGATGGAGGGTAGAGAGGGGGAAGGGAAGGGAAATTTCATTTTAACCTTGTTTGTGGATGGAGGGTAGAGAGGGGGAAGGGAAGGGAAATTTCATTTTAACCTTGTTTGGGAGTTTCATTTTGGAGGGTAGAGGAGGGGAATGGAGGGGAAATTTGGCCCAAATTCTTACACCCCAAATTGGGGTGTAATGGAGGGGAAGGGAAGGAAGGGGAAAAATTCCCCTTCCTTCCCTTCCCTAAGTAAACTCCCAAACACACCGTTAATATATTCTTACGCTCTCTCTTATAAACCCATCAATTAATCCTCACCCACTTATCAATCCATCATTAATGTGTAGAGTGCAATTTTGATGAATATTCATCACTTTCTTAGCAATTGAAGGTATAATTTTGTAATTTACTCAACTACCAAGTTTATAGCATTAATTTTTTATTTTATTCATGACAATTATTTGACATTGTTATTCATGAATTCATAAAAATTAATAAAATTTGTTACATTTGATAAAATATTAGTTAAATAAGGTTTTAGTCAACCATTTATTAATTTCACATTATTATTTCACATGATTATTTCACATTAATTTCTCATTATTGTCCATGAATTCATAAAAGTTAGTTAAATTTGTTATATTTGATGACATTTTAGTTAAATTTGATTTTAGTATAGAATGATAACCTCTAAGTATATCATGAAATACAAGACTTGCAAGTATAGCATGGTATCCTGTAAATATAGCATGATGCACTGTAAGTATGACATGATACACTGTAAGTATAACATGATATCCTGTAAGTATAGCAAGATATACTGTAAGTATAGCATGATACGCTGTAAGTATTGCATGATATCCTGTAAGTGTAGCATGATACACTATAAGTATAACATGATATCCTGTAGCATTATTTTAATTGTCCTGATTTTAGTTGTCAATCTTTGATGAAATTTCCCTTAAATTTGCTTATTTTTTGTGACAAACATAGATGAATGAAGAATTTTATTGTGCTTGACGGAATTTAGAGGAAATAATCACTTTTTAAAATTAAGTGTCAATGGGAGTTGCAAAGATTTGACGATTGCAGTGCAAAGTCTAATTGCTTGTAGTGCAAGCACAATACAGTTGACTTATAAAGTACCTCACAGACAGGAAATTTATGTGCGTGTATGTGATGATGATGATGTCTCGATAACGTTTAATATACATCGAAGTTGCAAGGAGAATATTGTTGTCATGAACGCTGAGATGAGTCAAGAGATATTATTTGGGCAACAAGCTAATACTGTCCATATAAGGTAATTTATATTTTTGATATACTTTCAACTTTTACTATCAATTCTAAAGTTCTCACTTTCTTTAACTCTTGTACAATTTTCTATGCAGTAATCCGTACATCCCCTCTAGTGACGAACATGTTTCTTATTCACAAAATCCTTCGTCTTCACAAAGTATGTATCGGGAAGTTGGGAGCTCTAGTATGATTTCTCTTGCATGGCACAATGCTAGTAGAAGTGTTGGTCAATAATTTAATGATGTTGAGCATTGTCGGTGGAGTTTAAGTAATTACTCTATTGCACAAGGACTTAACTTTGATTTTGTAAAAAATGAACGCAAAAGAGTGACATCAAAATGCAAGGCCGCAAACTGCGAATAGATGGTTCATTGTACCCGTCGTTGAGATAGTGATCGATTCTATGTAAAAAATTATAGTTCTCATAGTTGTTTGGGAGGTGGCATAGGAAAGGAAGGATATAGACGGGCATCTCTTAAGTGGAATGCTAATCATCTCAAATCCATCTTGAAGGAACAACCTACTTATCGCCCAATTGATTTTCAGAAGAAGCTTAAAATGGAATTTAGTTTGGACATTCCTTATCATAGAATTTGGTGGGGGAAAGAGCTAGCTCAACGTGAATTGTATGGTGATACTAAATATTCATATGACCAACTCTACTGGTATAAGGATAAAGTCATGGAAACTAATCCGGGATCAATTATTCAGTTAGAGCATGAAGATGGAAGATTTACAAGAGTATTTGTGTCTTATTATGTTTGTTGGAAGGGGTTTATGGAGGGATGTAGGCAAATGTTATTCTTGGATGGTACATATCTTTTTGATAGGTATGGTAGAGGTCAATCTAATCAAAACTTGCATTAATGTAACATTCTTCATAGTAAAATATTATAATTTGTTTCATGATTGTTCTTCTCTTTTATAGGTATAAAGAAACCTTACTTGTCGTAACTGCTCTAAATGGAGATGGGGGAATGTTTCCCGTAGCAATTTGCATATGCGGTACGGAGAATGAGAGTAATTGAGAATGGTTTTTGGAATGCATTCGAGACATTCTCTTCAATGATGAAGATCCATATACTCTAGATGATGAGCTGGTGTTAATCTCTGATAGGGACAAAGGACTTCAAAATTCCATGAAGAAATGCTTTCCATGATCACATCACTCTTATTTTATTCGTCATCTTTTAGCTAATTTTAAGAATAACTTATTGAAAAAAAAGATATTATACCATCTTTACGAGATTGTAGGGTCAAAAATTTTAAGGATTGATTGATTCTCTTGTTTTAAAAAAATTGGGTACGATCACTTGGTACGAAACCCTTACAATCACTCACAATCTCTCAATTACAGAGGAAGAGAAGATTAATTCAACTTCTCTTTTGTTTAAGGTGGGTTCTTGGTGGTGAAAGGATGCTTCTCCTGATGCTTGAGTCGAGCTTGCCTCCCGTTGACGATCAGACCAAGATCACTAAAGCTTCTCACGTTCGTTGACCGGTTAGAATCGAGGTTCGAACTCCGGATCCGTACGAAGAAACTTTGATCTCTAATGCTTCTTGAAGTCCAAGTTTGAAATCTCCAATTAATCAACAACCAACCTTTTTCTCTGTAGCCATCGATGGCTATTTATAGGGTTTTAAGCATGTAACTGACGTGCTATAATCATGGGTAGAGGGGCGTAACTGCCTCCTTCGAATCAGCGCACGCCATAACGTGCTCCTGAAGATTAGCCCATGTGGCTGACTAAGTCTTCAGAGCCATTACAGATAAATCCCACGTGGATGAAGAACCTCGTCTTTAATTGAAACAGAGTTCGTCAAGTAAGACGAGCCTTGATGTTCGTCTTATCAAGAAAACATTGCAGTAGACTGGTATCTTCCGACGAATTTTGTCTTCACTTGACTTCGTCTGACGAACCTCGTTTTCACTAACGAACTTCATCTTCGACAGCTGAGTCCAACTACGTAGCAAGTCTTGTAAGTTTTCTTTTCACGAGCCTCATCTTCACTAATGAGTTTTACGTCTAGTAATGAGCTTCGAACCTCGTGTCCAATGACAAGCTTCGAACCCCGTATCCACTAGTGAACCTCGAACCTCGTATCCAATGATGAGCTCCGAGTCTCGTAGATCAGTTTTATTCAATAATGAACTTTGTCTTTTGATGTTGAGCTCTGCTGCGTGGCGACTCTCGTTCTCGAGGTTAATCTTTACTAAACAACGAACCTTGTCTCTGATTGAGAAGGGGTTCATTCTCCTAACCCTCATTTTCACATTTCGAATTTTGGCATTTTTGAATGCCTATAAAACCCCCTTCAAAGTTTTCAGACTTGAATTGGGTTGTATGTAGTCTGAAACACTTTGAATAGGCATCTCGAACTTGCGGAGTTTATCTCACGGACCTAGTTTCGTTATGAACTTCGTGTTTGCTACGAAATTCAACATGAACATTACCTAGCGGTTCATCCTGGAGTTCGTCCATTTATACGAACCTTGTCAGAATAACAGTCATCTGACAAACGACATCTTGCGGCTTCACTCAGCAATACTGCTATGCGCTTTTCCAAGACTTAATGAATGGTTGCCAGCTAGTGTTTAGAAATCTCCGTGAATCCCGTCCACAGATCTTGTTGCGGAGAGATCTTATCAAACGACCTCAACCAAAGATCACAACCCTTGATTCGACCTTTTCCCGCCCTTATATATAGGCCATCATCAGATGAGAAGTCCTTTCTTCTCTTGGTCGCTTGGACTATCTGAACTCCTTCTCTCTCAAAGTTTCAATCTTTCTTTCTTCACAAGCCCTTTAAGTGAAATCAATGGCCCCTAAGACCGCTGTAGACCGAAGCAAGAGTAAGGACAAGAAGGTTGCTGGCTCTTTGCACGAACCCGCCGCTCTACCCATTTTCTCAGGTAATAGATCT